GGATAATTAACTAGGCACACCTGGGGCCCGTTTCAATAAGGAGGTTCAACCAACTCTGAGTTCAAACTTGAACTCTGAGTTGACTTAGGCCATGTCCACACGTACACGGGTATTTTTATAAACAGAGTTTTTCCTTCTTTTGTTTTTAAAAAAATCTCCGTCCACATGAAAACGCAAACACATGCTATGAAGCACTGTCAAGAGCATGCCAAACCAACAGGTGGCGATATAATCTCAACCGTAAAGCCATGTTGGCCAATCAGAAGCCTGAAAAAGTTTCCAATAGGTGGATATAACAACGCAGGCTCCGACGTCACAAGCCAAAAACTCCGGTTTCGCTGTCTACACAATAACGCTGCAACCGGAGTTTTTGAAAATCTTCACTCTGGCAGGCGTTTTCAAAAATGTTCGGTTTCAGTGACCTGGTGCTGCGCTTGCGTGTGGACGAATGGCCAAACCGCGTAGAAAAAGCTGTGGTTTTAAAAAATAACCGTGTTCATGTGGACAGGGCCTTACTCTGAGATGGGAAACTCTGAGTTTTCGGTTTCAGAACAGCTGAATTGAGTTAGTTCAATCAACTCTGAGTAGGTTGACTCTGAGTTTAGTGCGTGCACCATGACTATGAAAAGCCATGATCAATGGAGCTCTGATATTATAATTCACCATGGCAAGAGCACCTGACAAAAAGACGTCTGCATTCTTCTGAGTCAATAAAAGTTTAATTCTTATCGCTGTTATAATATCACAAGTGAAAACTGGCAGAACGGTAGGTTATTGAACTAATAGACTATTAATTTTCATGGTATCCCACGGGCAAAAAAATGAAATAAAATAGGCCTAATAATAATAATAATTTAAGTGCATTTTTCTTATTTTGCAAATGATCTGCCAATAGGGTAAGAAAAATACGGCAGCGGCTATTTACACTAAGTGGAATTAGCATACTTTCTTAGCGATAGATCCTATTTAAGTGTAGGCTAAGTTCAAATAGCTCTAGATGCTATTTACACAGTGAAAATAGGGATATATTCTATTTACCATGTAAAAGTAGTGTGC